AAATAAAATCTTAATGGAAAAAAATAAAAGTCAATATAATTTAAATGATTATACGTTTAAATATCCCGTTAGTTGGATCTCGAAAAATGATTTGCATTCGGTAAAAGGATTTGAAAATGATTTTGTGAGATGGGGAAAGGAAATGAAATTCATTAATAATGATAAAGAAGAAATGACAATTCGTGAAATGTCTCTTGATAAATATGTTGGTTATTCTTTTGCTGATTATGATTATGAAAAAATGTTGTATTTTTGTAAATTTGGTGGTTTATGGTCATTTTGAGATGATCTTGATGTAGAAGGATGTGATGATATTTTGTTATCTGAGAAAAAATTTTCAAAGCTTTTTACTACACGTGGAAGATATGATGAAAAATTATTGGACGAATATGATGGTGCTTTTAATGATCCTAAAGTTTTAATAAAAGATATTAAAGATATGAATGATCCTATCTGTATTGCTTGGTTGCAATTATGTGATGAATTAGAGAATGAACGAAGTAAAGAATTTGTTAAAAGATTAATGAATGAGATGAAATTTTGGATTTTCGCATCTTTAAAAGAAAAGAATGCTGTGATTGATTACAGAAATACAAAAAAACATATATCTTTTCATGATTATATGGAAATACGTAAATATGGTATAGGGATGATTCCGACTTCTTCACTTATAGAAAATATTATTGATTATGAGATTGATCCTGATTTTTTTAAACATCCTTCTATGAAAAGAATTTGTTATATATCTTGTATTATATTCACACTAACAAATGATTCATTTAGTTTTTGGAAGGATATTGAGAATGAATGGGTAAATTCTATAGTAGCGATTTCACAAGAGAAAAATATTAGTTATGAAGAAGCTAGTAAAAAAATTGTTGATTATCATAACGAGATAGTAAAAGAATTTGATACGATAGTTGAAACATTGGATGTATCTGATGATATTAAAAAATATATACAACATTTAAGAGTAGTACTTAGGGGATTTGCTGAATTTGGATTAAGATCTAAGAGGTATATTAAAGATAGAGATATTAACGTTAAAAATTTTGGTATGAAATTTTCCATAGGTTATTATTAGGAAGTTTTATAAAAGATGTTTGAGATACCTGATAATAACGAATATAAAATTCGAATGATATTGATGATATTATCAATAATTATTATATTGAGAAATATAAAGAGAAATCAAATTTTATATTTATTAATAGTATTTGAATATTATTTATTTGATATTATGAATGATAAATTGGAATTATCAACTATTTTACTATAATTAATAATTGATTTTTATTTATAAATATTATTGATTGACGAATATTTTTCATTAAAAAAAAAAAATGAAGAAAAAATATATTGATAAATACGATATAATTTTTAAATCAGATAATCCTAAAAATAAATCTTATTACTTACGTATTGAATATATCCAAGATAAAAGAAAACATGTAATCGAGAAATATCACAAGAAAAAAGAAAATCTTGAGAAAATATTAGAAGAGTATAAATCAGATTTTAAAAAGTACAATGATGGAATTGATGAGAATAAGAAAAAAAAGAAAGAGATTGAAAAGATGCTATTGATTCAAAATAATAGTTTTATTGTAGATTACGATATTTTAAAAAGGTTAAAAGATATAGATAAAAGGAAAAAACAATTAAAATACATGTTTACTGAGTATGAATGTTTATTACGAGGAAATAATTACATTAGTTTTAATTATGTTAAATCGAATATACATACAAGTTTTTTCGAATCTATATTATTGTTACAATATGAAAAATCAAAAAATTATTTAAAATTTTAATTTATTTAAATTATATCATTAATAATTATCAAAAAGTTTTAAATACTATTTTTATTCTTTTATCTGGAATTTATCGCAATGTCAAAATTATCTTTATTACCAAATGAAATTTTTATGATTATATGTGAAGAGTATTTATCTAAAGATATACTTTCATTATTTAATCTCATGATGACAGATAGGAATAATTGTAAATTGGTTATACCCATATTATATAAATATATGAAACATAATTTAAAAACTACAAAATTTTATTTGAAATTATTATATAGAGAATTATCAAAAGAAAATCAAAATTATATCGATACATATGTATCAAAAAGAGAAGATATTGATACTAATGATCAACTTTTTGTAAGAGAATTGATTTGGAATAAGGGAAATAATATATTTAGATATTCTTCGATGATAAAGTTAATAGATGTTTATCATATTTATCGATATTTGTTTCGAGATGTACACGCTACTAGAATTTTTATAAATTTATTATATGATAATAATGAAAAAATATATTTGTATTTGAATGGTAATGTTCTCGAATTTAGACGATTTACTTTATTTTTTAAAACTAAAATATCAAAAATAATGTATATTTATATTAATATTTCTATTAAATATCGTAAATTTTATTTAAAATCATTTAAAGATTTAATTACTAAAAAAGATGGAGGAAGTATAGTTTGTGATTTAAATTCTGATATGTTTATACAATATTATTTCGATAATGATTTTTCAGTTAGTTTATTGAAAAAATAATTTTTTTATAAAATTTAAATTATTAATTTAATGAATTATAAATATTTCAGTTTTGTGAATTTATGAATTAAAAAGAAAATGGCTTTGATTTGTTCTAAATTTTCTTTTGAAATATATTATATTATTATTGATATTATATTATACGAAATATCTGAATTAGATATTTTTTATAGTAAAAAACCTGTGAGAACAATTGAAGGAATATTATTTACATGTAAAAGTTTTTATAATTATTTTCGGAATAAATTTGCAAAATGTTTTTACAAGAAATTTGGATTTACTAAAAAGATATTTCCCTTGAATTGTATTCGAGAAAATTGTAAAATTGATAATAATGATGGTAATATAACGGTTTATTGTGGTAGTTTATGGGATTTATTAAATGCATACAAACATGATATTTATGAAGAGTCAGATATTCCATATAGTTGGAATGATCATGTTCCGTATGCTATATTCGAATCCAGGGAGAAATATTATCGTGAATCTTCAGATTATAATCGATATTGTGAATATTACGAGAAAATATATCATGTTAAATTATTTTTTTACAAGATACATGATGATTATACATATTATTATTGTGTCGAAAGAAAAAAAATAAATGTATTTTCTTTAGAGAGTGTATTGGAAATAATGGATAATTCTATTTTGGATACGGATAAAGTTGTAAAAACTTTAGGTATTTCAAAAAATTTAGAAAATATGATTGATGAATGTATCCAAGGAAATATTGATCATAATTTAGGAATTTTATATTTTCTTTATTCGAAATTAGAGTATTATCTTCCTATTAGTTATAAAATTATTTACATATTAATTTATCAAGTTTTATACATGAAAACAGATATTGATTATTTAACTTGGAAAGAACTTTTTTTATATTTAAAATATTATTTGATAAAATTATCAAATGATTATAGATTATTGATAAATCAACAATAATAATATTTATATTTATAATTTAATTTTGTATTTTTATTAAGTCATGATTATTAATTAAATAATTTATAAATATTTAATATTTTTTATTGTATTTGATTTATTCCAAAATATTTTATGAATAATGAATGATGATAAAATTACAAGAGTTTGGACTGATGGTAGTTATTTTAATTATGAAATAAAGCGATCTAGTATTAGAGTATTTTTTGGTAATAACGATCCAAGAAATTTATCCGAACGGTTACATAAAGATCATAACGATGCTAATCGAGCTGAGATATGTGCAGTTATCTGGGCTCTTGAAATATGTGAAGATATAAAGACTTTAGAAGTTATTACAGACAGTGGGTGTGTTATGGGTATTGTTACTGGACGTGATAAAAAATGTAAAAAACATATTGAATTAAAAAGAAGATTAAAATTTTTGATTAATAATCGAAAAGGAGTTATAAAATTTACCGAGGTTAAAAGTTTTAGTGTTTATGGTAATAAACAAGCAGATCGTTTAGCTAAGAATGGAGCATATAAAAATTTTGAAGGATGATATTATAATCCTAAATTGAGTAAAATTAATAATTTAATTTGTTT